TTTGAGGATCGTCGGTCTGGAGAAAGCCATTGAGGCTACGCGGCGCTAGAGGGTGGACGAAAGCATTCGTGCTTGTTACTGTGTTGTCAGGAGCGTCTCGAAGGCGAATTGCATTGTTGCGCCTTACCTTCCATGTACATAAGTTATGCCTGCACTATATTCGGCGGCAGGTGCCCTAGGCTTGCACAACGGCGTCGCGGCGTCACTACGGACCGGCCTATGGCTGAAGTCGTTGAGGCAGTATTCTCGCTCACGCGACCTGTATATCATTACGTTGCTCAATCTTGTTCCCGGTTGATATCTGTTTCTCATTTCAACGGCCTTGTTTTCCAGCTGATGAAGAAACAACATCAATCTAGACCGTTGGAAAAGAACGTCGTCGTGAACATAAACGTGGGCCCAGAACGTCAACAGAGCATGATCGGAAATGAGAGGGAGGTTCCCGCGGCGGGTACGCGATGTTTCAGCTGAACCGATGCAGGAACTGTTCACCCGCACTGGGCCGTATCCTTCTCGCCCTCTGGCTAGCACCACCGGTTCGATCTCGTTTCGCGGACTAATATGTAAATCTTCTGACCATGACTTTTGCCTTGATGATGATCATTGATCTTCTAGGGTGTTCTGCCGTCTTTCTATTATCGGAACAAGTTGAGGAGACAGCACCTTGCGCGAAACTGGTGGAAACGTCATGACATGTGGCGCTGTCTCATGCGCATAGTGGCGGGCTGTGCCTCAGAAACATGAGGCGATGGATAGTTGATGCCCTAAGGGTGTTTCACCGGGGATCTGCATTGTAGTCTTGTTTGCATGACGGTGTTGTTGTGGGTCGTCCAGGCATTGCAGTTACTATTGTTTCTTTTGATGGATTGATCGTACAGTAAGAACACCGAGAGAATGATGGACGAGTGTCGTTCGACTGTCAGAACCTTCTGTTGCTGAGAGTTTCGCGTGCTCCCGCCGGTACTTCTCTCGGCTCTCCGTAGCGGCCGCTGCTGGTGAGATTGCCTAAAGACGCCTGGATCCGTCTGACGCGATCAGCACAGGCACACATGACTATTCCCCCCTCCCTTACACCGCATTCACATTGTACTCGGTCACAGAACACGTCAATGCTGCCAGAATAGCCACCGGTATGTTTCTTCGCATGGCAGGAAGTCCCAGGGTATCCAAGCCTTCCCAAGCTTTTGCCGAGGGAAATAAGCACGCCGATCCATGCAACCATCTGCAGGAATGGGAGGAAACGCCAGGGCTTCCCCACAGAACACTATAGTCATCTACCGTAGCTTGACGGAGCTTAATTAATCGGGGGTACTGCTCATTTACACTACTGGTGGAATGGTCTGAGGACCAGGGTTCGAGCAACGGAATGCGTCCCCCGGGGCTCGGGAGCACGTTTGCATGCGGATAGTGGCAAGCGCTCAGATGGCGAGGCGACAGCGGCTTCGGTCATGGACCTTGAAACAATCGCAATATGTTTGGTGCGAGATGTTTACAGCCTTTTAACCGTCAAGTCGTATATAGACCAAGGCTTGGAAGGACGATTAAGCTCACCACCAAGCATCTACACAAGCAGCCTTCACTTCCACATTCTCTTCTTCACTACCAATCAACGTTCTTTTACAACAAACCCACTTTTCCAACCTTTCAATCTTCAAAATGGTTGCCTTCAGCTCTATGGTCCTCGGCCTCACCGCCATTGCCGGCTCTGCCTTTGCCGCACCCACTGCCGATGTCCCTGACTTCGAGCTCGGCTCCAAGAGCCTCGCCGCCCGCCAGGACTACAACCAGAACTACAAGACCTCTGGCAACGTCCAGTTCAGCCCCACCAACAACGGCTACAGCGTCAACTTCTCCAACGCCGGCGACTTCGTCGTTGGAAAGGGCTGGAACAAGGGCACGACCCGCAAGATCAACTTCCAGGGCTCCACCACGCCCCAAGCCGGCACTGTTCTCGTCTCCGTCTACGGATGGACCACCGGCCCCTTGGTCGAGTACTACATCCAGGAGTACACCTCCAACGGTGCTGGTTCCGCCCAGGGCACCAAGATGGGCCAGGTCACCTGCGACGGCTCCGTCTACGACATCTGGAAGCACACCCAGGTCAACCAGCCTTCCATCCAGGGCACCACCACCTTCACCCAGTACATCTCCAACCGTGTGAACAAGAGGCCCGGCAGCGGCACTGTTACCACCAAGTGCCACTTCGACGCCTGGGCCAAGCTCGGCATGAACCTCGGTCAGCACAACTACCAGACTCTTGCCACTGAGGGCTGGGGCAACGCTGCTGGCAAGTCCCAGTACACCATCACCGGCTCATAGAGTGTTGACACACTTTTGTATGAGGGCCACTGAGTGGCTTTTGGACAATGACCTGGATCAAGAACTGATTAGTCGCTGGCGCAATGCAGTCGACGGGAGATCTTGGTTGTCGAGGGTTTTCTTGTTGCAGATTTTGGTTTTCTTCATTCCTTTCTTCGATTCTTTGGGGTCTTGACGCACTCCTCGCATGTACATATTGCATCTTTTTGCTGGAAAAAATTCACTCTGGTCTGTTGTCTTGAAGACAGACAGCTATAAAACTTGTTCCTTCCTGCTTGTGATGTTTCGCGTGATGTCGAGGTGACCACTGAATAGTGAGCTGCTGTGATGAATGGTACAAGTGTTAAATTCCAGCCTTAGCTATAAGAACGATTATCCTTGAGCTTGGCACTTTGGAAGACGTCCGCTATTGAGTTTGCGATGAAAGACACAACATAGATATTTGGAGTCGTATAGGAAGAGAATAAGGTGATGCAGACTTTGTCGCGGTAACTTCCGGGTATGGAGATCTTGAAGACCGAGGATCAAGAATCCCTCTGAATAAGAATGTGATGACTTCGAGGTGTGTATGCGCCTCACAATGGCTACGTGGATGTGTTCCACTGATAAGTGCATACTCGCTTCGTTCTGGGGTATCAGTGCAATGCATAATGAGTATTAACTTCGAAGGCCCAAGTTTCGTAATTCTGAACGCGACCAAATGCGTTGATTGATAAACTGCAGTTGTGTCGCGTATATGCTCGCGGTATCGGCCTCGCGCTTCTTTCACTCCTATCGTGCACCGATGCAGTGTTAGTAGGGCTGGACACACTACTACATACAGACTCAGAAATACGGCCGGCATGTTTCCCCGAGGGCAGACTCTCTGAAAACCTCAAAGCTACCACAGTCATCGCGCACTTCAATGACCAGCGCAAAGCAAGACCGGGTCCTAATCTGAGTCGAGAATGTGTACTGTTCTCCGTTGGAACTTCTGGATCTGGGGCGAATAGTTTGATGATGTTCGTCTAACAAGCCACCGAAGTTGGGACGCGTCTTCTCAACGAAGGTTCGAGGGTTGCGATGCTGATTTGGGATTTCGTTTTGACGGACCCTGTTCCATGGTCACAGTCGATACAATTTCTCTTATAGATTCTGCAATTCGTAAATGACGCTCTTGCTGTTGTTGTGGATGACGAGCGTCCAGGGCGTCGCCCACGTTGGAGAGAGTGGCCCGTGCACCCACTAAAAAATAAGCGACGTGGGCTCTTGTCGAAATACCTATCCATTGTGCGAACTCCAACGACCGACAATCCAACTCACATCAACACCGTCGTCATGGGTAGGGTCATTCGCAACCAACGTAAGGGTCGCGGCTCTATCTTCACGGCCAACACCCGCCTGAACAAGAACCCCGCCCAGTTCCGCACGCTCGACTTCGTACGTTCGCCGCCCGCACAATCGCGATATTGGACACACACATATTGGGATATGAGGGCTAATGGGTGCAGGCTGAGCGCAATGGTTACATTCGGGGTGTCGTAAAGGAGATCGTCCACGACTCCGGTCGTGGTGAGTACCCAGCCGCGAATTGGACGTCTGGGCCATTTTTAACGATATCGTGAACAGGCGCTCCCCTCGCCAGGGTCACCTTCCGCAACCCCTACAAGTTCAAGCAGAACACCGAGACCTTCATCGCCAACGAGGGCATGTACACTGGCCAGGTCAGTCGAAATACCCTGGGCCGCAACAACGCGAATTATATCTAACATTGCCAAGTTCATCTACGCCGGAAAGAACGCTGCGCTCACCATCGGCAACGTCCTCCCCCTCGCTTCCGTCCCCGAAGGTACCGTCCTCACCAACGTCGAAGACAAGAACGGTGACCGTGGTGCGCTCGGCCGTACCTCCGGTAACTACGTGACCGTTATCGGCCACAACCCTGATGAGGGCAAGACCCGTGTCAAGCTCCCATCTGGCGCCAAGAAGGTCCTTCCCAGCTCATGCCGTGGTATGGTCGGTATCGTCGCTGGAGGTGGCCGCACAGACAAGCCTCTCATGAAGGCGTCGCGTGCTAAGCACAAGGTATGTATTGTGGTCGTATTTGGACCAGCGCAATCACTAACACCCCACAGTTCGCTGCCAAGCGCAACAGCTGGCCCAGGACTCGTGGTGTTGCCATGAACCCCGTCGACCATCCCCACGGTGGTGGTAACCACCAGCATATCGGTAAAGCCTCGACCATCTCCCGGTACGCCACCCAGGGTCAAAAGGCCGGTCTCATCGCCGCGCGGAGGACAGGTCTGCTCCGTGGTACCCAGAAGACAAAGGACTAGAGTGGTGCTTTGTGATCTGGTGGCGTTGGTCTACGACAGGAACGACAAAGATGCGGTCGGTTATTCTCTCCATACCTCTATATGCGGGTGGCCGGGCGTTATAACGAAATGGAAACTTCTCGGCAAGCTAGGCTTTCTTCTACTGTGGCTTGCATGCATGATAGGTTCTTAGGGAATGTGATTCCGAAAAATGCATCTGGTCTGAACTTCTGATATCGTCCACCATTCGTTGTATCTGTCTGTGCTGTGACGTTGTGTTCTCATACGAAATATTTTCGATAGCAGATCCCTCAAGGTTCTCATGTCGCATTAACGCATGTCACGGCTTGGTTTTTGGAATCGGACATTGTTACAGATCAACGACCCTCACGCTCCACCCATCTCCACATCGCCATCTCTGTCCTCCGCTTCGCTCTCAGTCCCAGTCCCACTACCCCCATCCCCGTCTTCCTTCTCCTTCTTCATCCTATAGTCCATATCCAGCACACGGTAATGTTTCCTATCATCGCCCAACACAACAATCACTCTCCTGCCCTTCCTGCCATTCACAACCAACTTCATCGGAGTGAACCGGCCTTCAAACACATGTTGCGTGTGCCTCTCAATCAGCTCTTGCGTAATAACTATCTTGTTTCGTGGCGACGGCGGAGGTGTGCCTTGCGGGAGGAAATGTTGCTGTAGCGCAGACTGCGGAAGCGGGGTGTAGGTGATGAGAGGGTGTTGGTGAGGTATGTCATTCGCGGCGGGTGTGTACGGTAGCGAGACGATGACGTTTGATAGCGATTTGTCCTCTGAGGGGAGCTGCAAGAGGATGAGGAGACAGGCGTTGTCTGCGAATTTTGCGTCGAGAATCTTGATGTTTTTGGTCGATTGGGAGGCGGATGAGAAGTCGAGGGTTGAGATGGCGTAGGCGTGGATGTCGCGCTGTAGATTGGATATACTCTCTTTGTGAGAGAGGCGGTGGATGTGTAAGAGAGTCGGCGATGAAGGGGGTGAGAGCGCGATGTAGGTACTCATGCTGTCTGAGGTCGATGATGGCTGTGTAGTGTTAGTATGTATGACATCTTAAGCGTTGGTGGAAGAAGGAAGTAGGGCAGCATACCTCAAACACCATTCTCATGTCCAGTACACCCATCTCCCCGGCCTCATCAACCTCTTCAAGAACAACACCAGAGTTCATCTGGATATTGGCTTCCTGCCACCTACTAATCTGCTTCAGCAGCCCCGTAACACCTGTGCTCAAATGTCCAAGAACATGTTCCAAGCACAACGCCTCCTCTTTGAACGTCGCACCTTCCTTCAACAGCTCGATAGCCTTCTTCGTATCATCATAGCTCGCTTCCTCTCTCCCCTTGGCTTTACCATCCAACTGCGCCTCTGGTCTGAGAAACGGCGTAACATCCGACTTGGTAAGCCCATATTGAATATACGCCAGCACCTGTGAAACATCGACCCCGGGATCGCGCTGTTCCATCTCAGCTCTAGACTGCGAGTCCAATTCGGTAGCCTCGAAGTCAATGGTGAATCTTAACCATTTACTGAAGCTGTGAAACTGTCTTTTCTCTTCCGATGCGTACAACATGGCTGTATGGGCTAGCAATCGCATATTCTTCAGCGTCTCTAACAGCGATGAGAAGTACGACATTGGTCCGCTGAAGATCCAATCTCGGTCGTGGAATTGCGCAAGACCACGTAGACGCGAGATGACGATGGAGCAACGGTCGAGTGCTGGGATGAGGTTCTCGTGAAGCAGAGCAAGAAGCGTGGTGAAAGAGGAAGTAACGGTGTTGTCCCAGCGCTTGTGTCCTGCTTCTGCCAATTCGTCGACAAGCCATTCTTTGAGGACTGGGTTGCAGTTTCCTGTGCATGCTGTGTGGAAGAGGTTCGTGACAAGATCGCCTAGCTCCTTCTCTTCGAGTGTTTCGCTAATGTTCATCATGAATTTTCGGGGCAGGTCTTGCGCGTGCTTGAAGAAAGCGCGGACGCGTTGGAGGGTCTGAGTGATGTACAGGAGCAGATTCTGTAGTTGTGATGTCTTTGCTGCAATGAGATGCAGATAGATGCCTGCGGAAGGAATGAAGTTCAATGTCAGAGGGATATAGGCGATGCTCTTCCTTTGTGGTGAGGTGGTCGATGACGTTTGCATCAGGAGGCTGTGTGTACAGCTGTACGGATGACTTGTATGTAGTATTGGCGTACTCGACATGTTCCAGGCTCTCGGGAGCTGGACGTTGACTGTTTCGAGCGAGTCGTAAATCGAGGGGTAGACGGTTCCACGGTCGGTCAGTCGAATGAACATGTCGACAGAGTTGTGGTCTTTCAGATGATGCGAATGCAGAAGCGAGTCCACCTCCGCTTGCGAACTGAACGCTCCAGTATCCGCCTGTGAGACGCGCATGAAGGGTAATGCTGGTGCAAGGGGAATTGCGGGGAGTTTGGGTAGCACCGATTCCATATCCATCATAGCAAGCTGATCCGGTAGGTCAGGCGCGATATCCAAGGTCTGAAAGTCCGGCTGTCGCTGCAGAAAGTCCTCCAGTGTGGTATCATCCTTGAACGCATCCCATTCCTCCGTCGTCGGATTGCCAAAGACATCAGTCTTCGCAGGCGTAACGCCGTTGGCATTCTTCCGTTTCAAGCCGGTGCGCTTCTTCACAGTCTCCACATTGATGAAGTTCAGGCCCCAGCCTATACACCTTACCCTAGCTGGATTCTCATCTTCTACCATGCTACTCGTGGTGCCCTCGACTTCCGGCAACATGACGTCCTTGTGCGTAACCTTCCCCGTCTCGGCGCTCACCAAGTCCGTGCTTCCATCGCTCCAACTGACAGCGATGCTCTTGCCGTTGAACTCCCACTGCAGCGCATCAACGCGCAAATCCTCGCTCTTTCTTTTCAGTCCAAATGCTCTTTGACCATTGATTCGGTAGACATCGAGGCTCTCCTCATCTGTAACTAGCGCTATGAGATCCATGGTAGGGCAGTACGAGATGAGATGTGGATGTATCGGGTGCAGCAAGATTTTCTCCGCTTGCTGCAACAGCTGCGGCCCATTGCTCGAGTCGGTCGTGGCCATGGCTGTAAGTAGTCGGCCCCAAAGGCCGTTGCTGAGGAAGTCGGTTCGTGAGTGGAGGATGATGGTTTGTTTGTGCACATGGAAGTCGCGTTCTAGACCAGATCTGTGCCTAGCGCGCTCGCGCTATCACGTTGTTCAACATGACAAAAGCCAAGAAATGCAGGAACGGACAGTAAATTATCTTCAACATGGTATCATGTGAGATGCACTTCTCAAAGAGGTAGTAAAGTACGTGACACGTGAACGTGGTGCCTGATAATTGAACATATGAAATATCTGCAATTCGAGTGCTAAAGAAAGATACCATCCTTCCTCTATGCCTTCTGGGTATACATATCATGCTATCATAGTACAAGTACAAGTGGCCGGCACCTTGATCCGAGGCGCCTGTTCCACTACCCTAAACCCCATGTTACAAATTTCACCTCAAACGCCGCGATGCGATACAATGCAATTCCGTAAACCAGTCGTGTCCTCAAACGTAGGACTTGTCTCCGTATGTGTTGAGACGCCCAAGACTGGCAAAAGCCTGCACCCATCGACTGTCATCATCAGTCGGTCTGTTTCACCGGACTGACGAGTTCCTCTTCGGTTGTACCGACTCTTTTTGCACACGCCCTCTGCCTGTGCCGCTGAGTCTACCATTTAACCTTGCCTCCTCGTCGAAGCTTGTTCGTTTGGTGTTTTGGCCACCCTCCAAATCATCGTCGCTGTCGGCCAAATCTCCAAGCTCGAACTGGTTCTCAACGTCGTAGTCATGCATCAGCGCACTACGGTCGCCAGCGTCCGCATAACTAGGCCTGCCATCACGAACGACACCAATCGACTGTCGCTCAAACAGCTCTTCGCTGCGCCGCGCTTGCATACTGCGTCTTGTAGGGAAACCGGATATGGCGTCAGAAGGCGGGCCGTCGGTGAAACGCGAGCCGTATGCGTTGCTGCCGTTGGGGTCTTCGCGCGAAAGGTTCAATAGATATACGCCGGAGAAGATGATGAGAAAACCACAGAGGAGAGAAATGGTATTGACGGCAGACGTGGTGTTGAAGCCTTGGAAGAGGAGGCAGGACGCGATGAGGGTGCAAGTCGTGAACATGACGTAGTAGAGCGGATTAACACTGTAGTAGTGCGTTAGCACTCGCTGGTGAAACTTGAGGATGCAGAACGTACATGTTTGTCGAGAACTGGCTCAAGGCCTTGTTGAAGTAGTTCATCTGTGTGAGAATGCATCCGACCACCAAGATTACGAAGACGTATGTGGAGGGGTGCGTGAACTGGTTGTTGCCCGCAAATGTCATCTTGAGGGCGATACCGAAGGCCTTGATGAACATGATGGAAACGGAGCCGGCGGTCGAGCAAATGGAGAGGTAAATGAGCGGGTTCTTGCGACCGTACTTGGGCGCAACACTGTAGATCATGAAGATGCAGAAGACGACGCAGAAAGCGCAGTAGAAGAGGAATCCTAAACACGTTGCGTTAGTCTCTGTCGTAGCCTAACGGCAGAAGCACGCGTAAACGTACCTGGCTGAAGCGCAAGGTTCAAGATCTCCTCAACGGACTCAACCTCTTTGTCCGGCGGCGCATGTAGCACGATAATGACAGATCCGATAAGACATATCGCGCAGCCAATCTTGCCCAGAAGTCCTAATTGTTCGTCCAGGAAGTATGAGCCGAGTACCGCACCGATAAGAACTGAGAGGGCGCCGAGGGGAGTTACGAGGATGGCAGGCGCGAAGGCGTATGCCGCGAAGTTGAAGATCTCGCCAAGTACCACTGTATGCTATCAGTCACGCACACGGCATGGTATCGCGTGTGCACCCACTCGTTGTTATACCGGCCCACCACACGGGGTTCTGTAGGTATCCAAAACCGTCGCCGTTGAAGCCCTGCTTCTCCATCGAGGCATTGAGGCCCTTCTTCGTAATGACAAAACTTGCGCCAATGGCTAGTGACGAGCTCACGGCCAGCATGAGTCCCACATATCTGTCCTTATCGTCAGTTCCTGGGGCTTCTCGTGCAGAATGGCGTGCCTTGGCGCAACGTACTTGTCTTCGACCATTTTGCCGGTTGTTGTAGGTCTATGCGACCTGTCTTGGTTCTTTGCGGCCAGGTAATATCAATATCGACGTCGCTGTGAATGTGCGCAGGCGATAGCAACGGGCGTGGGTGGTGTGAAGCTAGTGCGCGGCGGTTGACGTTGGATTGCGCGGACTGGGGTTATCGATAGGCGCCTGTGTCGTGGCCTGCCGAAGAGGAAGGAGGGACGCCAGTGGAAGGAGCGATGATGCGCAAGCGCCGAGTTGACTGACTGACCGACTGACTGCGACGGACGATAGATATGATATGCAGGTGCGATGGCAGATGCGACGGAAGAGGTGGTGGGTTGGGGATGCTTGCGCAAGAAGCGATTCGCGTTTCACCAAACGCTGTTCCTGTACCGAGCCAAGGATCAAGTGACTGCAGCAAAGGTGGGCGAGACGTCTAGACGTGTCGAGGGAGCAAGCGAGCGCGGGGAATCTCGTGACCAAGGGCACGATCCAACGACAATGAACGAGAGTGAGAACGAGTGCAATGATTCAGGACTGTGTTGTGATGATTGACCAAGATGCGTGCGCGTTCTGTCTATCTATCGATAAACCGTTTCCCAACAAGGTGGCGTGCCGGTCTCGCCAGTGCCATGACCCCGAGGTTTCACGGCGGCTTGCGTCTTACGCAGGGGCTTCTTTTTTAGCTTCCCCTGTCCCCGTCCTCACGCCTCACCAACGCTAGGGTTAGAGCCTGTCGATCTCCTCGTCAGACAAAGACGCGGCATTCCATCCTGCAATATCTAGCCGCAAATATAGCTATAATTCTCCCTTGGCTTTGCGCGCCCTCATCTCTACAAGTGACATGTACCAGGAACAGCTGTGGGTGGAGTCAAATTGCCAATAGTGCCGTCTCCAGCTCGAGTGCTGCGCCTCGCGCTGATCTGTCTAGTTTCCTCAGGTGCAACCGAAATAGCATACCTCGTAATCGCTTCCCCACAACACGCGATCGAGAATGATTACGTCGCTGTACTGATCGTGGTTCACGTAGCAATTCACCACCGAGGTATGGCCAAGGATCATTCTGTGCATGTGACTTTTCGATTTAAGCTCTCCAACTCAGGGTTGAAAGTGCCTAGAGTCCCTTCAAGGTATCCTGAACTTCGACTCAAAACATCGGGTATATGGCTCGAGACACCTTAAGATTCCATCTTTCAACCACCAGATCCTCCACCACCCCTGGACATACCATCCTGACCTCCGCATACTCCATGAAATTGCGCAGAAGAAAGAAACATCGCCCAAACTGCAATCCCTGTAGTGGCAGGGCATAACGCAAAGAAAACGCGCAAGAAGATGCACTCTCTTACCTTTTGGTAACCATGTTCCTCCACAAGGTTTGGTATCCGGCGGCGCGCGCTGCATGGTCGGACCTGTTATTAGTACACATCATATTAGTTCAAGGGCGCACTGAGTTGAAGAAAGGGCGGAAATGAAGCTGCTTGTTAGTTGAGTCGAAAACCCGGTAGACTTTGAGGACGGCGAGCCTTCATACTCTGGGGCGCTTGGCGTCTGGTGCAAGATAGTCAGCGCCTGAGTTTCGCTTATGTATAAAGATCGTAAGCTTACCTATAGAGTCAGATGCAATATCCGCTCCATGTCCAGCCTCGTCGATGGATCGCTTTTGTCCTTGTGGGGACACATCATTGGCATCGTTAGACGAGGCCGTTGTAGGATCTGCAGCCGAAGACGTTGCGTTCGCAGTCTGTCCAGCCACGCCGTCCTCTCCGTCTTGGGCGTCGGTGTGATCATGTGCAATGGCCGGCATCTCTGAACCCTCTTGAGCAAAATCCGGGTCGGCGTCCCACTCAGGATTGTTTTCCAGATCCAGGAAGTCGTCCGTACCGTTCACATCGTTGCCATCCGTCACATCGGCGCCAGCAACGTTGAACTCGTCTCCATTCATAAAGTCCAGATCTGCCTGTTCGTCCAGGTCCTGGTACTCTTGGGTGGCGAAGTCTTGGTTAGTGTCGCCGTTGTATGCGTCTACACCATAGTCATCTGTTCCATCCGCTTGAAAGTCCTGGAAGGGGTCTTCTTCGTCGAAGGCTTGCACAAAGTCCTGGTACGACTGATCATTGTCGTCGTTGCCTTCGGTCTGGTCATGTACTGCTCCGCCATGAGGGTCTTCGCCGGCTTCCGCAGCGTTCTCGGCGGCATTCTCATTGTGGCTGAATGAGCCTACGGTGGAGCCATGTCCATCTGCGTTGGCAGATTCATCGTCTTGGAGCGTCGCGGACGAAGGCGAGGGCTCGTTAGCCGAAGCAACTTCAGCTTCCTTGACATCCACGGCCGGTTCGTCTTCTTCGTCACTGTAGTCAATCAGGTCATCTTGCTCCTGCAAGCGAAGGGCTTCCGATTCGGCATCGGTCTTCTCGCTCGGTTTGGGACTCTCTTGTTGAGGTTGCTCTACAACTTCCTGAGGCTTTGTGGACACGTCACTAGGATTAGCAGCTTGCACACTGTGGCTTTCGTCAGGGGCCGGTGCTTGCTCCTCTTCTGGCAAATGTGCAACCTCAACCTCCTCGCGCTCTGCATCCTCCACGCCATCACCCTCTTGAGCATTCTGCTCAGTGGACTCTTCGTTTTGATCAGGCTCATCGTAAGAAGTATGATCGACCGATGTGTGCTCCACTTCGTGCACATCCACTCCCTCGCCGTCATGGGCCTCTTGCTCATCTTCTGCTTCCTCATGGTCATGCTCGCCGCAGTGGGCCTCTTGTTCATCATCTTCTTCGTTGTGGTCACCCTCGCCGGCATGTTCTGGTGCCTGTGCTTCAGCATTCGCAGACTCCGGCTCCTCAACATGATCGCCTGCTTCTTCTCGCTGCTCACCGTACACTTGATCCTGCTCCTGGGTGTCCCACTCAGTGGGCTCATCACTTGAAGCCCCAGCAATCATGCCAGCGAAATGTGTCTCACCAGCGATAACGGCAGCCTCAAAAGCAGAATAGCCGCTCCCTTGGTCGGCATATTTCGCAATATCTGAGAGCAGAGTAGCGAAGCGCGGTCGCAACATCAAGGAGATATAAAAGGAGTCTGGGTTGTTGTTGCCATCTTGTGCATGGAGCGAACGGTAGTATCCCACAAGACGCTCAAGCGAAACAGCTACACATGCCGTGTTGTCTTCGAAGATTTCCAGATTCTGCAAGTGCTCAAATTTGAAGCCGATCTCTGTCTCGTTTGACACATCTTCACACAGGGACATACGGCATGCTTGGAAGAGGTCTGACAAACTAGCCTTCGCAAGCGAGATGTCCTGAATGAGCCAGTCTCCACTGTTGTCGTAGTCATGCTGTTTGAAAAGCCAATACTCTTCGCCATGGAGGTTCACGGTGACAGATGGAAATTCAGATGAGTCACTGTCATGATGCTCGCTGTCATCAGCAGTAGCTTCCTGTTCATAGCCGTGGTGTGTCGAGTCTTGATCTTGGGTTTCACCATCTGCATGTTGTTCCTGGCCTGGCAACATGACACCGCCGTCACCATCATCATTCTGACTGTCTTCTTCGTTGTCGTCGACCGATTGCGGGTGGGGTGAGGGTGCGGCTTCATGCGCCGCTGTGCGCATCGGGCTGTCATCAGCTACGGTCTGGGGCTCTCGGTGCGGGCTGGGCGACTTGTTATCTGCAGACATGGGAAGTAGAGCTTGCAAATCAGCGGGTATCTCATCTTGCTGTTCAGTGATCTCCTTAGGCAGTTCGTCATGTACCGCCTGCGCGTCCGAGTAGTAGCTTGCGTAGCTTTCGGTTCGCAGCCACGGTGAACGTAGCTCGGGGTTGTGGTAGTCATCGCCTTCCTCTTCGGAATAGTCAATCAGGTCGTCATCTTGATGCGATGTGTTGGTCTGGATCGGGGGGAGGTTGACTGCGGCAGGCTGTGGTGACTGTGTAGGCTGTGCGGATTGATCAGGCTGTGCGACAGGTTGGTCAACAAGTGTGACGCCTTGATCTTCCTGGAAGCTATAATCCTCCTCGATGACGTCCTCTTGGTCGACCATGAAATCGTCCTGCTCGCCAGGTGCGGCCGGAGCATCCACGTCGTTGACCGAGGCCGCATCGTTCATGGACATTTCTTCGTCCTGGGGCTGGGGAGGCGGGGGGTCGAGATCTAAGTCGATGTCACCATCGTCGAAGTCGATGCCGCCATCGTCGGAATGTAGATCCATGTTGTCGTCGTCGGCAGTTGAAAATGCAAAACCTGGTGTTGTGTGTGCTGCGGCAGCCATGATATGCGATCAGGGGTGCAAGTGAGGCGTTTGCAGGCGTTGGTTTGTCGGTCGAAACGCGTAGAATAAAAGGAGTGTGGGAAGCGCGTCACAGCTAGGTGCGAGTCACTAGGTGGGTGGCGATGCAGCAAACCGGGGTTTGTGGTGATTGCGCAGCGTCGCTCAGAGGCTAGAAGGGCATGGCGATGAGTTTCGCACGGGATTTGCGATGGTGAGAGCCTGTACTCGGTGAGGATGAGGAGGCTTGTCTGGAAATTGGACAAAGGAAGCACGGTGGTGTTCGCGCTAAGATGGGAAAGTGCTTTGGCGCAAGCGGGCAAGTGGCAGGTGCTAACGTGGTTTCACTTACACCTGACGCGGATGCACTGTATAGTTTTTGAATGTTGCTGCTCGCGACGGCGCAACAGATATATCGTATAGAAAAGCGGGAGAAGTAGTCAAGTCGCGGCTTGCAGGTGTTGTCAAACAGGCCAGCGGAGGGGAAGCTGCGTCAGTGAGGATTTGCCGCTAGGCAGACGGAAGCTGCACGTGACTACAGGTGTCCACTTTGGAACCTCCAGGTGTTGCGACTGGTGCAGTTGGGCTGGCTCAGTGACCTGTCCAGCTCGAGTCGTTTTCTTGATACAGTCGTGTCGTGTTCTTGTTTCTTCGTATTGAACACGTCTTCTCGCCCTCTGTAAATACAAAAGGCGGAATTGTGTTCCTTAGCAACTTCCTGACGGACAATATTCCCCTCCACATTCGACA